CATTCTAATCATTCAGTTTTATTAATTTTTAGGGTGGCCTGTCACACAACAATGTTTGTCTGTCATCTGTTTATGTAAGCGATAATGACTGGGGCTGGCGGCTTGGTGGAATGCAACATGTGTGCAAAGTTTCTGAACTGACCAATGAGGTACATTTGTGTAACATTGCATCAAATATTTCTTTCAATAAGTTGTGTCTAACATCTAAAATACAGATATAATTGGATCGTAGCCTGAAGTCCTGTACCTTCAAACTTAATTTACTTAACAGTAATGTACTCAAGTGTCCATACTATATTGTACCTTTATGATCCAGTGAACTGTTGGTAATTCAGTCTGATCTTATACACAACATAGAAGCAAAACAGTGCTTATGAGAATTTTACTGATTGAGAATACTTTTTAACTGCCTGATTGATTGCTTTGCTCCTCAGCCCAGTCACTCATTTGTTCATTAGTAAATTTTATTAAATAGAGTGTTGAATAAAATTGTTAGTGGAAATACACTGTTTCCAAATTGTCTCTGTACTGCCTAATTATTTTCTTGTTTTATTGATTGAAGTTTCTGTCTGGGACACGAGCTCAAAGAGACTCCAAGTCTATTTCTCCTGAGGAAAAGGTAATACATGTACACCTAAGTTACTATTAATAATTATTTACATTCCTGTTAGAATATCTCGACCCCCTGGCATGATACTGAACAATGTCAACCTCAGCTTCAAAGTTGTCCTCAGATATTAATTGATCATGAGACCTTATTAAACTGAATAATCTCATTCTTTGTTTGTGACACCCACTACAAATACTTACTGCTAGAGCTAATACTTGGTTGAATTATTAAGTACAGCTAGGTTATCTTTTATTGTGTTTCTAAAAACATAGGAAGGGCGCATAAATATCAATCTGAAGACAGGCCATTCTCTGGATGCATATGCCTTTGGCATGTTCGTGAGTGATATCTTGGACACTCGAGCAGATTTAGGTAAACTATGTAATATGTTATTGAAACTGGTATCACTTGGAAACATTAAGTTTAAAGCATCATCGTCTTAAGACAATATGCCTCAGCCATTTTTTTAATGTAATGCTGTGAAAATGAGTACACTAGTACATGTATGCACTTTGTTCATTTGCTGTCATGGCTTTTTCTTTGCTTACTGTATCAATTGTCTTTTCTGTTCTAGGAGATATCGGTGAAAAGTTTGGAGAAAAGATGCAGAGTCTATTCCTTCATGAGAATCCTCAGGTGAATTAAAAATACAGTTCTGATTGTCCAAGTGGTAGTACTCCAAAATGGGATTGTTTCAAAAAAATTAATTAGTGTCTCAGATTTTGAAAAATGAGGCCAAAATTCATCTTCCAACTCAATAGAAACTACATGTAACAATTAACATTCCAAAAGAAGATTGTACATGGTAAAAAAATAAAAAAAATAAATGAATTTCAGTCTGCCCTTCAGGCATGCAGCTCTCAAATTTTGCTTGCCCTGGGCAAGTCTAAGTTAGAGGACTTGCCTGGGCCCTCACCCGTCAGGCAAGTGATAATGAAAAGTTACTTGCCTGTGAGAGAGATCTACTTGTCCCACATGACCAGTCAGCACTTTTTTTTTAGCCCTGTTAAAGTCATGTGGAAGTGCCTCGTAAACTCTTTTATGTCTGTTACATAGTAAAAACTTTAGAGTGCGTCAATAATTTGTATTTTATTCTCAGAATTGTATCTGAGTTTACTTTTTCACTTTTTAATTTTCATCACTATCACAGATGAGGCCACAATTTTCCAGTCTTCTCAATGATGATTTCTTCAGGTTTGTCCAATTTATTTCTTATTCCCATACAACCCTTAGAGTTCTTTTTAAACCAATTAAAAGTTATATACATCTTAATTTCATATCAACAGGAGCAGTTTCTTGGAGATAATGACTTTCCTGAACCAGATTACAATTAAAAGTGATGTAGAGAAAGGCAAATTCTTCAGGTATGTAAATTACTTAAGCCTGAACATTGCAGGAAAAGTTTAAAGGACACTCTGTGAAGTGCTGTGAGAGCAGAACCACAACACAACGTTAATAAATAAATAGCCTGGGGAATACATGTCTGAAGAAATGTCTTCCTAGTGCCACCACACTGTATAATATATATATCTGTGCCCACTGTGTTCAGCTCTCCAGAAAATACAATCCCACCCCTCTGGAAATTCCCATTAAGCATCACACATTTCTTTAAATTTGTTGGTGCCACCACCCTCACCCCCACCCCAACCCACAGGAAATTTCAATCCCTTCTGTGGAGCAGAGAGAGGATTGCTATTTACAGCACATTGCAACTTGTAGATGATACTGTTTGACTTTCTTCAATTTCTTTGAAAATGTATTTAACTGTTTTTGTGCTAGCGAAGAAGAGGAAGAGGTTAGTTAAAGTAACGAATCTACCAGCCAAATCTGAACTTTTGTTGATCCTTACTAGCCTATGACCAATTACATGCAAGTTTGCAAACTCTGTCTTCAACAGCCATTATGAAAGAATACATTGTAGTTTTATTTTGCTGCAGGTACCAATAGGGTTTTGATAAAAACAGTTTGTCAATTTTTTTTTTTTTTTACATTTCAGTTCTCTAGCCTACAAGCTGACAACAATTCCTCCCAAGGTTGTTGCTAGACGCATGCTTCCACGATTGATGTCAAGATTTGTTCTGGCAGAACCTAGTGCAGAAAATAATTTTCTTCCTCATCTTCTCACTTCTATTAAAGGTACACTGCTGTGCAGTAATTATTCTTAACACTAGGACTGTAGAGAAAGCAAATCTATTAACGATTCAAGGCTACACAGACTCAACAAGAATTTGCTATGCAGAAATCTTTGAGCAAGATTTCTAACTGCTGTAAGAAACCATCTTGAGAAATCACCAGGTTTTTTGCTAGATAATTTGTTGCTCGTTAATTTCATTCCAATTCTATTATAGATTCTATAAGCACAAACAAGTTACACAACATCCAGAGGGAGTCGTGATGATCAAATCATGCAAACATGTAGTCAGGAGCCTATTTTTAAAAAAATCATAAGAAGAAACAAAAATGTATTTCTATCTTTATATATGCGACTGTCACATTTCCTGGAATATTGAAAACAAAATCACCGTCAATTTAGATGTTAGGAATCTTTTTTTTTTTTGCTGCAGATGGTAGTGACACTGATTACCAGATAAGTGGTCTCACTCCAGTTATACCAGATGAGCTGTTCAGGTAATTATCAAAGTTTCCTTTTATGGATACATGTATTTCTTTGGAGAACCACTGTGTTCTTATTGTAAGGGAGTTTTGTGACAATAGCCAATCTACAACACGAATTTTGTTCGTGGAAATAAAACCCACCTACTGCTTGTAATTGTCATACGTGACATAGAAACCGCATGACAATTGCAGGCGTTCTAGCATAAGGCACTCAGAAGACTCTACAAATGCGATTAAAACAGTTCTAAGCTAGAGTTACACGTTCCGTGGTCTAGTGTCACTTTCCTTTATTTATTGGAAATATAAGTGATACGTTTTTGTCTCTTTTCAGAGAACACTGCATTCCAATTTTGATGACGCTGTGGTCAATAAGAGATGGGCATGTCAGAATGATTCTTCTCAAGTATTTCAGTCTCTATGGAACTTCTTTCAAGGAAGAAGTTCTAGAAAATTTTATCCTGCCTCAGGTATGGTAATCAACGGATGTGACCTTCACAATTCCATATGCTTACATGGATCCTTTGTTAAGCGTGTGATCAGTGGCTTAGATGTTGATATATATTTTTTATATAGAACAAAATGTTTTAAGCATAAGATCAGAGGCTTATATTTTGTTATATAAAAACATGAAAAGATATATAACAGAACCATAGGCCTAAAATCTATTTACATAACTGACAAAATCTAAGCCACTGATCAGCCGCTTATCCTGCAAAATGTATTAATTAATTCGCGGATATAACAATAATTTAGCAAATGAACAGAACCAAGATGTTGAAGCTGGTCTTTAATCTGGTGTGGGCTCCTTTTTCGGATTCTCAGTGGACAAAAATTGTATTGGCTCTATTTCATATACAGTCAAACCTCTATAAAGCGGCCTTCTGTTAAGCGGTCACCCTCTATTAAGCGGTCAGCATTCAAATTCCCGAAATTCGCTTCACATATTTACTGTATATTTGGCCTCCATTAAGCGGTCACCTCTATTATGCGGACGCGGTCACCGCTTGGACTTCCCAATTGGCTAATTTTCACATCAGGTGGTCAACCGAAGCACAGTCACGAAGAACCCACGTTGGCGCTGAATTAAGTCAGTGACTTGCTTCACCAAATTAAGTTATGCAATCCCAAGTCACAAACGACCATGACTGTTTTTTTCACTTCATGAGAAAGGAGATGCAGTTACCTGCATTAAGGCAAAGACGCTTGACGCTTACGAAAAACATAAACCACTGATAAAATCTGTTGACTAGTGCGTGGACTTCTTAGATATATTTCGCATTTCAGTTGTTACCAACAATAAATCTGGATTGCGCGCTTCCTTTTGTTATGGTGTTATGGTATGTGTTTTCTGCCCCATAATACGGTAAATTTTGGTTACCTCTTTTAAGCGGTCAACCTGTATTAAGCGGTCACCTGGCTATTTCCTGAGGGTGACCGCTCAATAGAGGTTTGACTGAATTAAGCCTACTGTAAGGTTAAAGTTGGCGAGTCATTGTGTTTTGGTGCAGCATTATCACGTTTAGATTGTTGTTTTCCTCTTTATATCACCTTTTTCTAAATAATTGTGGGCTTTTGACCTAGCTTTTTATTACAGATATGTCTATTTTACTCAGTACTATTTTGCTAAATTGTTTACTTATTTTACCCTATTTTATTTTTTTGTCACATTTTGATGCAATTTTAAACCTATTTTTTTATCAAATGTGCCACTCAAAACTCTCGTTTATAGCTTTTCTAAACCTGCTTTTCTCTTATATTTCTGGNAAAGTCCTTGAGAAGTTTCAATCGTTTCTGGAGGTACCCGAAGATTTGCAGAATTTGTTTCTCTTTGATTACCGGGAAACAAATATTGTGACCGCTTAAGGTCCCATCCACACCACGCAGGAGGAATTTGAAAACGGAGGTTTCACTCTGAAAACGCATCAAATGTTTTCCGTCCACACTAGGCCGGAGGAATTTGAAAACGGAGGTTTCACTCTGAAAACGCGTCAAACGCAACAATTAATCACCGGCCGGTCATTTTGGATTTGTGTTTGAGGAAAAATCGGTCAGGGAAATCACATGGTTATCGTGACACCATCGGTTTCGAAAAGCTCCGAGTCCGTTTTCAAAATTTTTTCCGTCCACCCTAAAACGAAAAGCCGGCGTTTTCATATTCCTCTGGTCTATAGAGCGTTTTCAAAAAGCTCCGTTTTCAAAACGTTTCCGTACACACGAACATGAAAAGCCGGCGTTTTCAAATTCCTCCGGTATGAAAAAAGCGTTTTCGAAAAGCTCCGTTTTCCTGACGGATTTGTGTGGACGGTACGCCAAACCGTGGAAAGAAAGCTGCGTTTTCACATTTCTCCGGCGTAGGGACGGAGCCTAAATCTTCATTATACTTTATTTTTTTCAAAAGAGTGTGGACAGTAAAAGAAGCGAGCGTAAGCCTGAGTGGATGAGAAAAATAGATATGCGAATAAGCGAAGAAGTACAGAATAATTAGTAAGGCAAAGGGCACGAATTCCAACTGGGAATTAACCTAAGTAATGAATGAAATAAAGCCACAGGAAGCAAATTAGGAAACGGCGGAATTTACTTTAACGTATTCAGTTTAATTCAACAGCGAGTGATCCTGGAGGGAGGAAAAGCAAAAGCAGGATAATTTTCCTTTTTGTGTTATTTTGAAAATTTCCCAAAATAGTGCAATAAAATCGCTAAATAATCTCATAAATAATGTCTAGTTATTTGCATGTATAGAGGTGAGCTCAAACAGGCAGCGTTGGGTGAAAGTCGATCGTCACTGGATTTTACTATGCTACTGCAGTCGGTGATCACGAAGAATTTCCCCGTCCTCAAGTGGACCAAAACCGCGCCAAAACCGTTTTTCTCGCTTTTTTCGCTTTTCGCTTCGCATTCTACGGGACGAAGAGGGTCTGTTTAACTTTTACGCGTTTGCCAAACCTATGCACCTTTATTTAATTGTGTTTGTACGTTTTATTCAGATGTTGATTGGTCTACGAGAAACAGATGACAGAATAGTGGCCGCTACATTCTCTGCTCTGGCGGTCATGGTGCCCATATTAGGAGCGGATATTGTGGTTGGTGGAGAAAGAAGGAAGCACTTCATCGAAGGAAGACCAAAGGTACAGGTTTAATTTCCAGTTTAGACCCCTAATATTTGTTTTAGTCGTCAATAAAACTTCATTTTATGTTTTTTGTCTTGTCTTTTCAGTTCAGCACTTCTGATAGCTTGCCACCAAGTAAGTGAAAAGTTTATTGTGATTTAGCCCATGAAACGCAAACTCAGCTGTCTGTCCGCTTTCGCGCGTTCGCTCCGGAAACTTTTTACGTAGTGAAGTAACTGTAGTCTCTAATGCAAAACTGAATAGCTATTCGGGATGGAGTCGGTCCGTTTGTTCTCAGTACTCACGAAATACATTTGTGGACTATTAATTCGGCTTAAAGCGAAGACGCTCAAGATCATCGCTGCTATCCGTTAGTTTCTCAGTCAGTCGGCCGCAATGTTGTACACAACGGTGGTCAGCTTCCAGCTGTTTCCCGCCATTAATCGTCACAGCTTCCATAGCTGTTTTCCCGCCATATTGTGGCGATCAGGCGTCACAAGTTCTAGCCGTTTCCCACGCTCCTTGTTGTTCTTCTTCCATCAGGCTTCGCAGCTTCCAGTTGTTTTACCGCCTTGTTGAGCTACGTCTATTAGGCGTCACTCGCAGCTTCCAATTGTTTTCCCGCCATTTTGTGGTGCGTCCATCAGGCGTCGCAGCTTCCAGTTGTTTTCCCGCCTTTTTGATCTACGTCCATAAGGCGTGACAATTCCTCGTTGCATTCGTATCTTCCTGGTTTGCTGCCTTAATTTGCCCAGTTCATCACAGCTTTTTCCCGCTTGCCATATTTTCCTTATCATTCCTTATTTTTCTTTTGTCTTATTTTTTCAGTCTCCACAGTTCCCGTAACAGAAAAGAAAATCAGCAACATCGGCCCTACAAACCTGAGCGGAGTTATCGACATCGAAAACAAGTTAAGTCCACTGACAAGTAAAGACACAAGAAGAGCAACTCGCAGTTCTGAGGACAAGTTACGAAAACAGGACAGGGAAAAGCGGAGACAAGAAATGGAAAGGAAAAAGGAGGAGAGGAAAAAAGAGCTGGAGCGGCGCAGACTGGAAAGAGAGAGAGAAAAGGCAAAAAAGCAGTCATCTCCAAAAAGACTTTTAGATCTAGTTATCCCGAATGCGGAGTCTGATCATAAGGAATTTGAACCATGGGAAGAGCTGGATGAGGCCCAGAGCTCCCCTCGGTCAGACGCGACGGTGAGTGGAATGGAAGACATGTTACATTTATTATTTTTTTATTATTATTGTTTTTTTTTATTTTCAGTTCTATGATAGAACTCTATAACGTTGTAAACGAATTTATTTCGTGAATATTTCAAGTGATGTACTATAGTAAAACTGATTAAGATAACTGACATGCGCTGAAAGCTTGCTTACGTACAGCTGTAACTAATTCAGGTCATAATAGATTAAGTGGCATGCTGGGAATATTAATCCGTTTTTTTTTCCGAACAAGCGTTAGGTATTTTGTAGCTTATATCTAGAAGATGTGTAACGACCTGTAACGCACTACACCTCCTACACCTGTAATCTTTGCCCTCATTTACAGTACGCTTCAAACGTTTGAGGTTTCAGCCGAAAAGCTTTCATAGGGAAATCCCTTACGTGGCATAATTAAACAAAACACTGCCTAGTATTAGCAACAGGTGTTAGAAGTTTTCTTGAGTTTCCCTTATCTTTTCGTGTTCAGAGCCGCCGATCAAGTCAAGCTACCGCTGACCATAATGTTCAGTACTGGAGTGACGATCACAGTGTTACCAGTGACCATGACAAGTTGGACATGACCAATGTTGATTTCACGCCACCCTCTTCACAAGCGGAGAAATTCAACAGAACTTCATTCCATACTCGTGATAAAGACAGTTATTCCTCTAAATCCACGCAGGGCAATGCGTTAAAACTTGGTTCCAATAAATCTTCAGGAAGAACGGATAAATCGAAACCTTCGAAGTCACGACATCAAAGCGACGAACCGCCTGGAAGTGAATTTGAAATACCGCGAGTTGCTGTCCGCTCAAGTGAGCCTGATTACTTTGCTGACATGGAACCCGCTGTGAGTTTTAAAGCGAACGATTCCAAGGGTTCTGTCTTACAGTCCCACACTGGAGGACTGAGTTCTAAGCTGGCGATGGTCGAAGATAGCTCACAGGTATGATAGGCAGGTTCTTTTTAGGCCTTTTGTGACCAGAACGCAGCCTCGTTCCCATGGCCATGGGAACGAGGATGGTTAGAACGAGGCTAACCAAAAGATGTCGGGGTCTTACCGTTTTCCGACAGCGGACGATGTTGTTGTTTGTTTGTGTGTTTGTTCGTCTGTGTGTTTGTTTGTTTGCTTTGTTATGTTTGCAATGAGGTCGTGCGGTTTTTCATTTGGGTGACGAAAGAAATTTTTAATTCTTTTAAGTTGTGCGTTTGCCAAGCTATTAAAGGAGTCCAGTTTTCAGTTTTCTTTGCTTTTGTGTTTTGTGCTTTTATCTTGTTTGACTAACCCGCGTTTTATCGCAATCTGTGGTCGTGTGTTCTCCCTCGCCTGGCGCCATTATCATTATTTCCCTGGAGCTCTCATTAGTTCATTCTGTTGTTTTTGTTTTTCAGATGGAAAGTGGCTGGGCCGATGACTGGGATGGTTTTGAATGACTAGTGACTGTTTTTGTGATATTTTTATTGGTAATCTCACTTCTTTTTTCTCCGAACGTTTAATGAACCCATTCTTGTAATCGACCCAAGAAAAATAGGTTAAAACGCTCTTATCCCACATAGTTTTCTTTGTTTATCATGGACATAAATCACTAGCAAAGAGTCTCATTAAAATTCTCAGTCGCAAAAAATCGCCAGCGAACACGTAAAATTGCATATCTTATTTTTAATAATTTTCTGTTGCGAATAAGCCAAGGGGAACTCAGATGAAATAGCCACGGGGAGGTGGAAGACCTCTTTTGGTACCTGTGGATCTTTTTGGTGTTAAAATTTTTGTGTAAGTTTTTTTTTTTCTTTTGGGTTCACAAAAAGCGTAACCCAGGTTTCTGCACAAAATTATATTTCTGTTCACTTTCAAAGAATGACTGCAGTCTGCCTAAATTTGTGACAGATGCACGACGACTGAGGAAATGTGGATGCCATAACTGACTGGAACGTTTATTTTTCTTTTTTATGGCGAGAGAAAAACGAACTTAATTTTTTTTTTTTTTTGGAGGGGGGGACAATTTGGTCTCATTCGCACCTCCCCGTCTCTAAGATATCTGAGTACCCACCCCCGGGCAAATCTGCAGTGAGGTAAAGAATTTTTAAATGAGATGGAAATTGCAAGTTTCTGTTGTAGTTAAAATATTCTTATTTCGCCGTTTGAGGTGTTTGTTGAATTCTCGTTGCGGAATAGTTGTTATGAAAACTTTTGAACATGGTTGTTTAAAAATAGTACATTTAAGTTAAATTTTATGGAATAATATTTACGATAGAGACTATTTTACAAAGTTATCCGGTAAAGAAGATAATATTTTAGAAGGCGAAATATCAGCCAATGAAATAAATGAAATATTGTTGATGAGTGGGTCAGTAATTTCCTTCTTTCCGTATTAGTTTTATCAATACATTGGAAGTTCTTCCTTTGAAAGTGGAATGTTTACTTTGATATGTTTAACTTTCGTTGTAATCTTTACGATCTCGTTTCATCAATTCCTCCCTAATTAAGTAAAGTAAATATGAAAATATAATTTCTTATTTTTTTGTTACACGCCATTTCCACATTTTTTGTTTCTTTTTAGAAAGTTAGTAAGAGTAATAACACCTGACTCGTATGCTTTCGAAAACATCGGCTACAAACCGAACAAAGAAAATGAAAATGTGGAAAAGGAGAAGGATTTTAATATTCCCTGAACGTTCTGTACATCTTCCGCCAAAGCTCGCCAAGAACTCTGTTTTGTACATCTTCGTGAGCGTTAAATGAGGAGCCGCAACTCTTTCGGTAATTCAAATTCTGGAGAAGGTGATTGAAGAATTAAATTGAATTGAATTGCTAAACATAAAAAGGGAAAGCAAAAGCGACTTATTATTGTACTTTGGGAGTTCATTTGTGAGAACAGGGCACCTGTGTACCTAACAATTCTTTTTATGTCATTCAATTTTGACACTTTCATCTTTCAAATCTTTATTTCTGATAAGAGGCAAATTAGCACTTCCTGTGTTCAGAATTAAAAGTACATTCCAAGTTGTAGTTTAAACAGCCCCTTTCTCATAACTATCTCTGGAAGTAGCTCGGTTAAAATCCTTCAAACTCAATAGCTTTTAATCAAATGACGGCAAACCACCATGTTTCAAAACCGACAGTGAATCGAATGTAAAACCGAACGAGATGAGAGTCGATTTGAAAAGATCGGATGGTGAACAAAGCTCTATTGAAAAAGATAAATGACATTAATATTTTTCATCAACTTGCTTTACAGCGCAATAGAGATTTCGACGCCGTTTTCCGAGCGAGATAAATTCAACAAAGATCATTAAAAATTTTGGAAAAGTTTCAGACAAAGCGGCTTGCGTCGTTTTGTCCTGGGGTAATGAAGCGTGAAGCTTTGTACTCACTGTTAGTCACTGTTAGTTGATTGGTTAGTTAATTACAGTGCGACGTTCTGATTGGCTGATGGAAATCACGGGGACTTGTAACCCATTCAACTGCCGCGGCGGTTTTTCGTTGCATGTGTCAACAGAGACTCGGGACGAATTTCAAATTTTGCTTCGATCGAACGCCAAAATAGATCTTTGAGGAGTTTATAGAGAGAGAAAGAAAGACTAACTCTGCTGCTACTGTGTGGAAAATTGTCAGGATCATTAAGGAGGGGGGAAATGTCAGTGGTGCAACTTTGAAGTTGCTGGTGCTATATAGTGACGCCAACTGATCGCGTCCATTGCGATCTTGTCACCTCTAAATCACTGCACGGCAAATAGCTAATTTCGTTATCATGTATTTATGGAGGAGAAAGCTTGAAAGATGAGTCGTAGGTCGAGTGCAAGTAGCAGTGTGAGCACCAGTGTTAAATCTGGCGTCGAGGACGATCCGTTGATGCGAGATTGTTATGATTTGAGACGAAGATTACTTCAGACTGAGCAGTCCCTTCAAAGTTTGAATCCGCCACATGCAACGAACGGGTAAGATTTTCGAAAATTTTGTAGAAGCTTCGGCTAAAACAGGGATAGTTTAACTATAGATACAGCAAAAAGTTTATTTATAAGTCCCTAGTAACCGTACAGATGTTCCTCCTCACCGTAAGTTCAGTCATTTCTTATTTAGGACGTCCTACTGGCAGTCACAATTGGAAGATCGTGGTGTTGTGACTGGTTTTGATCACTAGAGTTGTGATTGCAAAATGATAACACCACGGGAAATTACATTTGTGCCAAAAGTAAGCACACAGCGAAAGTATGAACTGCTCCAGTGATCTTCCGTTTAAGCTCTTTTTGCTGTTTTTTGAGATAATAACCTTACGTTGGCCTTCCTTGTTATGGGTTCGTGCGCGAGTGAGTTTCTTGTATTTGCAAGAGCTTAGAAGTTTCTAAGGATAATCAGTACAGTGTAAACAACGCTTGTTACACGGGTTTCGACTTTATTCGGAATTAAAACGTTCTGAATATTTTTCACTAAACTCTGAACAACAGTTTAACTCCATGCTTTGTATTTGATCGCCAAAATATAGCCAGGTTTCATTTGACGGAAGAATTTTCAGCGTCGGGACCAGGTACATTTTTTGCGCGCGTTCCACGTTGATGTGTCGTAACCAAGGCCGCACTTTTTCCTGTTTTTAGAAACTAGAGAGTGTTTTCTCGTCAATGACAGCCTTTCGATGATTAATCGCCCTAATATACGCAATTAAGTTGGTTTACTGAGGAATCTTCCGTAATCTTAGCTTACAAGACTTTGGATTATTTTTGTAGACAAGTCGTGTGAAACACAGGGCCAGATGTTTAGTTAACATGTTTGGACATTTGAACATATTTTAACAGTAATCGTAAAGTATTTGCCTTCTCTAGAAAGCCAGCTCTTGTTGCATAACCCTGATTATTTTATAGTTTTTCTTCTTTCTCTTCAATACATTTTAGTAGATATAAAATTACATGGTGTATGTGATAATTTTCTTTAAATGGTTTATTTAATTGACCTTAATATATTAATGCATGCCTGAAAGGTAATGGTTTCATCTTTCATCTCGTGACGTCTTCCCTTTTAAGTGTAGTGCGTACAATTGTTATGATTCACAACTCCACAAACTGAGCTACTTACGTGCAATTCATTAGAATGTGAGTGGTCCAGTTACATGTAAAAACAAGTTACCCGTATGTAATGTGCCACTATTTTTTGAGGAGAAAGTTGGGCAATTTTCACAAAAACAATCCTGCACAGCAAAATGCTGTAAAATTGTTGTGAAAGGGGAGCCATGACGAAAAAATCAAGCAAGTTCATTCTCAACTGATTTTTAATTTTAAAAAAATGTTATTGCACAAGCTATTGCCCACCAAAAAAATTATACACAATCTTAGAGTGAGAAAAAAGTTTCATGCCCTAGAAAATTGCCCAACCCCCAAACCCCTCAAAAAATATTTGTCTGCCCATAACTAGCTAAATTCAAATTTAGGGAATGATTGTTACAGTTAAACCCTGTTATTTTGAGCTCTTAAACTTAACATAGATGTCAGGAGTTAAAAAAGCCAATAGTACATGACTGAAAAAGTTTATTCAAGTGAAAATGTTTTAAGGACGTTCGCACCAATTGTTTCTGCACATTCTTACTATGAATGCACATTCCACATCATGCATCAAGCACGTGCTATAGGGCAGATGGCCGTTGCTATAGCTT